AGATAGGCTCTGTGTCTGGACCCTGACACTCTATCTCTCGGGTTCTTTTCCCTGAGCAGAGATCACTCTGGACAAACCCTTTAAAAAACACTTCATAACTTATGTGTGTTTAATAACAGCAGACATGACAACAGGTTCTGATATAAATTGTAATCTTACTCAGATCAGGGAAATTGCTTAGAATATACAGAAGGCAGCTGCTCACCTCTCAGGAAGTGGCCCCGATTAACAGTTAAAAAGGGATTTTCTACATCTCCAGTCTGCCACATCATCATATTTTACATCACACACGTTAGCAGATGATTAGACATCCATGGCTCCAGCCTTATCAAAATATTACACTTCGTTCTTAGCTGAAGGACACCGCTCTCATCCCATGTCCAAATCTTTGCCACGTACAGAATAACGTGATATTAAGGAGTCACTGACCCATGATCTCAGTGCGACGGATGTTTCTACCCACAGACCCTTTGAGCTTTTTGTTGTCTTCCCATCCAGCTGCGTCTGGTTATGGAACACAGAGCGTCCGCCTGGGCAAAGACGCTATTAAAGACTTTGACTGCTGCTGCCTGTCTCTGCAACCCTGCCAGGATCCTGTGGTGACGTACGTATCTCTGTCATGTAAAAAAACCAAAACTGATTCCACCATAACTGAAACCGACAGTCTGTATTAATGCTCTTGTTGCTGTCCGCAGCCCGGATGGTTACCTGTATGAAAAACAAGCCATTCTTGAATACATTCTTCACCAGAAGACAGAAATTGCCAAAAAGATGAAGGTGAGACCCTCATATCAACATCCCACAACAAAAAGAGGATGTCTGCACATCCTATAAACCAGTGCTTTTAACCATGGTCCTCGAGGCACCCCGCCCTGTACGTCTTAAATCAGGGATGTCAAACAGGTTCCAGAAAGGGCCGTGAGGCTGCAGGTTTTCTTCTCAACCAAACAATAATAGCTCACCAGACTGCAGTCATCTCATCAAGAGAGTCCAGTCTTAACATTAGTGATGGGTGCAGTAACACCGATGCATTGATACTTGCATGAAGCCCATAGAGCAAAACACTGTATCGGTGTGCATGGCGTTTCCAGAAAGTCATGTGACCGATACAGGAGGTGTTTCTAACTGACTGACTCACTAAACTGTGTTGGAAAAAGTATCTCTCAAAAAAGTCAATCTTTTGCGTTCATCATTAAAATTATCAAGAATTTTGGAACAGCCTATAAGGAATAGGAACGTTTCAGCCATTGCATTTGTATTTTAATTTTCTCTTTGTGTCATCCTTTTCCTCTCAGTTATCACTCAACTTATCTGAATTTTGTTTATTTACTGTTTTTACTGTTCCTATTGTTTTAAAATTATGATTTAAAATCCTAGTCCACAACCATTCTCATTCACATTTTCCCCTAGATTTTCACGTTATGATATATGTTCACATTATTTATCTAAAAATATCAAAGATATTTTGAATTTAATCATAGATATGAAATAATACAATATACCTTAAATGATATTGTACTAGGTCATCGAATCGATTTAGTTTATTCTGTTCAATCTGCTGCCTGTAGTGTCTTTAAAGGTCCAGCAGGTGTCAGTATTCTGTGAGACAAATCATTTTTAGGCAAATGAGTTTTTCAACCACATCTTCTTTTTCATACATGTTTTTCTACTCCAAGCTGTATAGGCTTGAAAGCCAACTACCAATTAAGTAAATCAGGTGGTGTGCCTTTCTGTAATGAGAAGGGGCGTGGACTAATGACATCAACACCCTATATAAAGTGTGCTTTATTAGTAGGCATCTTCCTTTCCTTTGGCAAAATGGGTCAGAAAAGAGATTTGACAGATTCTGAAAA